TACGTCCTGTCCTTCTGCAAGAGCGCGGCCGTGCCCGTGGCTGCTGCCGGCCTCATCCCCTACTGCGTCGCCCGGCTCATCAGGAGGCAGGAGGAAAAGCTTTTATGAGAGCGCGCAGAGCTGCATGGGACTGGCTGCCTCTAGTTCCGAGCCCTGACAGCCAGGCCTGTGACTGCTCTGTGGTGCTGTATCACAGAGCCAATGCAAACTGAATGTGGCACAGGCTGGCTCTTCTGTGCCAGTTGCACAAACTACATGGCCTTGAAAGACACAGAGAATTGTCTGAGAGACGAGGGTGGGTGAGGCGAGAGTCCTGTGAACCTGCACTCAGTCTGTCGCGGAGGGCTTTTTGGAGGTGAGGGTTTGCTTTACACTGGGCGTTTGAGAAAAGAAGCGTGGTTTGGTTTTGACCCTTGGCACCGTTCATGCAGTAGAAGCTGGTCCTGACCCCGGCATGGTCCTTGCACCCCCATGCACACAGCTGTGCACACATGCCTCTCTGCCATATGCTAAGCAGAAAGAAAAGGGAATTGTAGGAACTGTACAACCTGGGGCTCTCACTGAGGTGCTGAGACATGTGACACAGACCTACGCAAAGCCTTAACGCCGTGTGCAGTGAGTGAAGGGCGATTGGCTTTCGCAGTCACCATGGTGTCCCAGTATTGTGGCTTTGTTCTCAAGGCTTTTACACCAGCGTAAACCTGGAGTAACACCATGATGAATCTGACCCTTACAACCTGTGCAAATAACGTGTGTGTCACCTTTCTGAAACTAGTACCCCCTCTCTGTATCCCAGCATGCACTGGGCTTGTGCTGTAACCCTGGAGTGAGATATTTACATTTGGATTTTGCATGAGATACAAGCTGTAGTTTGCTTCCTAGGAGCTCTCAGCTGGTGTTGGCAGTTGTTTCATGCAGCCCTTGATACCGGGTTTCATGAGTGTCTCCCTGCCCTCACCAGCAGACACACGAGATCCCAGACCTGCTGGGAAATAACCAACCCTGAGGGTCATATCACAAAACTCCTGCCCACTTGGGCACAGGTCTGCCCTGATCACTTGTGGGATCAAAGTTCCTGCCAGAGCAGGGAACTTACCAATGTATGGTTTCTTTTCAATCTGTTACTGGCTTGAGGTTTCTTTGCCTGAGTTACTCAGACCTAAGAGTTTGAAAAGAGACAGTAAGTGGTAAGATCCCTGCACAACTGGAACAGTGAGATGTGAATTGGAGGGGAGGGAACATGTTTATTTTCTCTGTTATCTCCTGTTACTTCTCCAGCAAAGTGTCACGAGTTGATGGCATGCACAGCCCTGACCCCCACTCTGATCCTGCTGCGTCACAAACTGCCCCTCACCGCCACCTATTGAGCTGTTTTCCTGTTTGCTGGGAAACACTGCAGGGACCGGTGTGGAAATCCCGAGTGTGCCATGGGCCGTTGCTGTCTTGCTTGTTTACACCGGCTCCTTCTTTCCCCGTGGATGGGTTGGGGGTTCTCTTCCCGGGTTGTTAGTTTCTGTATTTCCCACACGGTTTTGGGGATTAAATATATCTCAAGAATCACATTGTTTGGGAGATTCCTTTTTCCTCGGCTTTTTACCATCAAACATGTACTCTTTTGCTTCGTGCCTTTACACAGATCTTTCCACAAATCACCTACTGAGGCCTAATGTTTCCGCAGCTGGGATCACAAGCATCTGGCCTGCCCTAGTAGAAAAAATGCAGCTGGAGAAGACATTTCTGTGTTTTTGGTGCATGTTGTGTTCCTTCATCTCAATGGAGCACACATCTGTACAACCAGGAATACTCTGGGTGCTCAACAAAGATCAGTATCAGCTGCCTCCCAACTAGGGAAAAGCAAAGAAGGGAAACAGGGACGGAGTTACACTTGGATCATTCACTTCTTTCTCAGTGGACACTGGGCTGCACACGTTCTGTGCACACGTCCTTCACTGGGAATCCTAGCACTACATGACACACTTCCCAGAGCAACCCTGGATATAAACTTTCAGCCAGCTGGTGATCTCAGTTACACTCCGGGCAAATCCAGAGCAAACACATAGCTTCAGTGGAGTCATACTAGATTTACACTGGTAGAACTGAGATCAGAAGTTGGCCCAGTATGCATCTTCTGCCTCATGTAGACACCTTCTGTGGGAGGCACATTTTCTGTGCAAACTGGGACTGTAAGAGACCAGGGTTTGGTCTCACCTTTGCAGCAACAATAAACTGGACTCGACCTCAGCCACCTCCCTCAGCCCAGAGGTGTGAGTGCTACCAGCTGACGCATCTTGACCTGGAGAAGGTCTAAGGGGTAAAGCAGGGCACAGCTGCATTTCTAACCGTGGGAAATCTGCATTTGACCTGTCAAACAAATGAATAAATACAAGTAAAACAACCTGCTTTACCCAAAGCCCAACCTACAGCTTTAGGGTGGTCAGTGTAACTCCAGTGCAGTTGACGGAGCTATGCCCAGTTATTCCAGTTGAGGATTTGACCCTTAAAATGCATTTAGTCTGAACAATCAGGAACAGATTTCAGAGAAATGGGACAGATTCATGCCCTACTGGTGTCTGTTTTCTAGCCCATCATTCTCCTGGAGAGGCAGGTTAACATCCAACCAAACCTGTCTTTGTTTTTAAAACAGTGACACCAAATTAGCTCGTTGTAGCTTTTGTGCAATTCTCTGCCTTACTCCCCAACTTTCAGCCCTTTCCCCTAGTGACACCCACACGCCCAGGAGTAACCAGAGGGAAACTCTGAAATGAGGGATATTGATTCCTGGGGATGATGGTACAGACAGTTTGCTCCAGATTTCTGGCTCTGTCAATAGATTTTGGCTGGGGTGGCTCAGGATCAAAGATCATTGCATATGTCATAAAAGAGTTAAGGCTGGCAGGGTATAAGAAGCAGCAGAGTTCACAAAGCTGTCAGTGCAAACAACGGGATCCAAAGAGACACAACTAGGAGCCATAATGGACCTGCTGCACAGTGCTGGGGTGCAGGTGGTGCAGTACCTGCAGGAGAACTACCAGGGCTTCCAGGACTGGTTCCTCTTCATCTCCTTCGCTGCCGACCTTAAAACCACATTCTTCATCTTCTTCCCCATCTGGTTCTACCTCTGCGAGGCGGTGGGCGTCAAGCTGATCTGGGTGGCCGTGATCGGGGACTGGCTCAACCTGGTCTTTAAGTGGTGAGTGCGGATTCTGAAAAGCAGCTGTGGAGTGCTGCAGTTTGGGGTTGTTTCCAACCCCTCCCAGGGTCTGATGTAGCCTCTCTGAGAGGAAGGCTGGGTTTGGGATTGAGGAACAGGGTTGGGAGTCAAGACACTTGGGCTCTGTCCCTGAGTCTGCCACTGACTAGCTCTGTGACTTTGAGCAAGTCACTTTACCGCTCCATCCTCGGCTTCCCCCTCAGTAAAGTGGTGCACGGGTTTCGTGAAGCTCAATTAATGTGGGGAGAGCACGGTGAGTTCTTGTGGTAAAGGGCTGCGCTGGTGCAAATGGCTGGTGCAATTATATTTGGCTATCAGCTGGGAAGGGCAATTTCCAAACCCCACAGCCTTGTGCTTCGCTCCAGCAGGTCCTGGGCCAAAGGCACGCTGCGCTCTGCAGCAGCCCCCCTCTCTGCACACAGCGGGGCCCCTACAGGGAACACATGGAAGCTCTTTGTCTACTCGCAGCACATAGGACCTAGATGCTTCCCCAGCGTCTGTCCGCAGCCTGGATTCGTCTGCAACCCTCGGTCCTGTTGCTGTGGCCCGGGAGCTGCACCGAAAAGCAGAGGCTGGTGCTGAATTAATAAGTGAGCTGAAAAGGCAAGAAGAGTAAATCATGATAGTTATGGAGCCAGCACTTTGCACCCACGGAGTCCTCCCGACAGCCCTCCGTGTAGGGCAGCCCGGGCTCCGCCGCCCCCGGGAATCCGCGCTGCAGGGTACGTGACATGCCCCAGGCCACGCACTGGCATTGTCATTTTCTCCTTTCACTACAGGATCCTCTTTGGGCAGAGACCCTACTGGTGGGTCCATGAGACCGGTTACTATGGCAACGCCTCCACCCCTGTGATCCGGCAGTTCCCCCTCACCTGTGAGACCGGCCCAGGTGAGGTTCCCGCTATTGCACCCCTCAGATTCACTGCAACTTCCTCCCTGGCTTCTCTCCCTTCTAACTGAGCGGGACTGGGTCTTCTCCGCAGGAAGCCCCTCAGGCCACGCCATGGGTTCTGCTGGAGTCTACTACGTCATGGTGACTGCCCTGCTGCCCTGCGTCCAGGGCACCCAGCACAGATCCTGTGCAGCCAGGTGAGCAGGGCCTTGTGGCCTGAGGGCCTTCTCGTGGCCCGTGGCCCGTGGCTTGGGCCTGGCTCTGTGTTAGTCAGAACGGGACAGGTTTTTACTGCGCATGACTGGATACCTATAACAGGGTGACTGTCCCCTTAAGGGGAATAGGGGTCAGTCTGCTCCATAGTGTGTCCCTTTAGGGTTCCCGGGACTTTGGGAGCAGAGGAGGACAAAGGGAAGGGCATAAGCAGGTGTTGGGACTTGGGAGAAAGGGAGATGGTTCGTCCTGGAGGAACAGTTAGTGCTTGGGGAAAACCCAGGCTACTGTTTCTTTATGGGCCCAGGACCAGAGCCTGGTAGTGAGGATGGGACGGGTCCCTTCTCCCAGCCAGCTGGGAGAAGCCCTGGGAAGGAGGGTGCTGCCTCCTCCCTCATCACAGGGGAGACACCAGCAAGGTGAGGAGCCTGCCTGCTGCCGTCTCCAAGCCCAGGGGTGACAGGACTAAGTGCAGAGGGGCCAGCTGGGGGAAGCAGCTTGAAGGCTGTAACTAGCCAGGATCAGCCCAGCTCTGAACAGGAGGCGGTGGGAGGCCTGAGGGGGCAGGAGGGCTGGACTTGCAGGCCTAAAGAAAAGCTTAGCACTTTCGAAGAGAGGTAAGAAATCAGGCTCCACAACAGGGGCTCTTGCTCTCACTCCTGGGGTCTGGGTGTCAGTACGGAGAACCCAGAGGGAGCCGAGCTGGCGGGGCCATCCCAGGCCACAAGGGGGGTGCTCTGCAGCGGCCCCCACCCACAATCCGTTTGGGTGAGTGAGCTGAGTGCGCCGGTTCCACCAGCTGCTGCAGCCCTGGGGAGGGGATCGTTTCACCCTGCTGAGGAGGGTCCCCCGGGTGACAAGGCAAAATGGAGGATGACTAATGGAATTGTGGGTAAATGCCCCCCCTTCCCGGTCAGCATGAATTCCTGCCCCATGTTATGTCTGGGACCGGGAGATACATGAGAAGTGGGACGTGTGAAGCCCCCAAGAGCTGGAGTGAAAGGAAATATCCTGGGGCTTTTTGCACCCGGATCAGCGGCGCCCACTGCTGCATCACAGCTAGTTACTGCCCAGCAACTGGCATCAGCATCTGTGAGATCTGAGTCAAGCCCAGCACAGGGGAGGTGACTCTCAGCTGGCAGCAGATCTGCGTGGGTCCAATCAGCCAGCCCCGGGGACAGCCCCTTGCGCTTCAGCTGCTGCAGCATGCAGGAGGCACCAGGCATGGGAAAGGCCTTCGCTCGCTGGTTCGGTTGCCCTAATATCTGGCCCAGGGGTGCTGGAACAGTTTGTATAGTGGGGGGGCTGAGAGCCATTTTCCCAAACTGCTTACCCTGGATATAACGGAAACCC